GTCCCTGCTGGTAATCGCCGTCTGGTAAAACAGTTTTTTTTTCGTCCAGACGGCGTTTATCTGTCCGTTTGTGTATCTACCCGTCAGGCTCTTAGAAAGGCTTGCATACAGTGCTCTCTTCGGTGCTTCTATGAATTCTCCCTACATTTTTTGTTTACCCAGCTTCAGTAACCTACTCGTGCTCGAGGTGCTCGGTAGTATACTATCGCTTGTTTGTAGGCCTTTTTGTTTAACCCTTTCAATTCGGCCTTCTCCACTACCTAACACACGGGGTGGGGCACCGCGTACGTTATTCAGCATATGACGAGGACCTAAACTAGCCTGATAATGTTGCCCTCTTTCATCCGATTGTGTCGATCGGTTTTGCTTGACTGTCTGAGCGACCGCGCCTTCCAGTCTTCTGCTGGTCTCAACGTTGTGGCCATTTGCCGTGATTTGTAAGCCCAGAACGCGGATGTTATCTACCCAGCGCACTGGTCGCCCGTCGGACGTCGTCAGTCCTTTGTCCCTACTGGTATCTAATGGTATCTTCACCATTTATTTTGCCGTGCGGCTTGGGGCCTCTTCGCGTGAGTTTCTAAGCTAAATGTTTTAATTCTTTTCACACAGCAGCTCACGCACGTGGCGACGTCTGTATATACATATTTGTGCTCGTCGAACCACATTTGACGTAATACAGCGCGTGATGTGGCCGGCGTAAAGGCTGCGAGTGAACCCTTCGCTTGGCTGGCCGACAAGCTATGTCGAAAAACATGGGCGAAATCATCGATCTCTGTGGTGTGCGTGCTACCCAATTCCTCAAGAGGAAGCTCCCTGAAAGTAAGCTTGGCATTTCTATTCACGATAAAATCTCGTACGTTCATGCGCCGATGGCAAGTTTGGCCAGTATAGTTGCGTGAGTCAAAGGCCTTCAAGTAATTAAAGTTCAAGCCAAAACGTGTCTTGGAAGGCCTTTGACTGTACGCCTAACATGTACGATAGCCCAACGACGTCCACCCGGACGTGGTTGGGCATAGGGCTATCGCCTGGAGAAATCATCGCATCCTGCGTCGAGAGGCTTCTCCTAAACACCGACATGTGGGGGATCGGGTAGCGGTCCTCGAGTTAGTTGGTCAGTTTAGCAAGGACCATGTACTCCATTGCTTTCCTCAGGCACGAAGTCAGCGAAATGGGTCTGAGATTCTCTCTCTAGCTGGAGTCGCTTGCCCGACTTCGGTATCAGCACGACGTGCGCAGCCTTCCGTTGTTGTGGTATACACGTCCGCTTTTATAGCACGTATACCTGACTGCCTGTCAGCTCTGAACTTCATCTTACTCGTAGCTCACCTGGCCGTCTTTTCTTAACTGTTTGAAAGTCCATTTTTCCTTAAAAATATTAAAAAAACACCCACCGCGGTTTCTAACTTCTGACCTTGTAAGCTTAGGTCGGCTTAGTGTCCTGGACGACTCTCTTTCTCACACGTTTATTCTTTCCTGAAATCTACCTGTCTCACTCAAAGTTGATATTGTTGGTTTCAAAGTGTTCGCAATGTCGCAGTTTTGTTTATTTCGAGTACTTTGAAGTTTCCTGTCAACTGACGAGCTGCACGCACCTGTTTTGCGAACTAATAGGCTACCTCGACGTGATTGTTGCGTTGAGCGCACACGTCGCGGGTGGTTAGAGTGCATGAAAAGTAATCGCGAAAAGTTTCCAACTGCTAAAGAATAGACAGGCGCCGCCTTTAAGACTGTATACTATTTTGTTGGCCTTTTGGAGTAGTAACTAAAACTCTGGTAAATAGATACAGAAGCAGACAGTGACCCTCAGTCGGGAGTCAGATATACGTACTAGTAATTACATCTACGGTTAGACTAATAACGTAAAATATTAAATGAAAAGGTAAGGAGCGAATTATTTCTAGTTCTTTCTAAGCTTACGTAACATTGTCCTGATTTCTGACTTAAATATAGGTCTGCCAAGATCTTTGAAGAATGTGCATTTGTAATCAGTTTGTACTTCCGATCGGGCAGGACTAATGTTCTGTTCCGTGATCTAGCGCGACATGTCCTCTTTCTACGCATGTATGATTCAGTTGATGTTGTGTTTTTTTTTTGTGTTTCTACGAGGTTTTCATTTCTTCCGGATCTAGCGTATACGTAAGCAAGTTTCATGTCATGGCGCACCCTTCTCTGTGTTATTGCAGATGTTGTCCCTCTGTTGCTTGTATAATTCCTGTGCGTGATTTTCAGTGTTTTTGTCCAGCTTTGCTATTGTCTTTTTAAACGATCTGTTCTGTTTTTGCCTTTTACATCTTTCCTGTCGGCCAACCAGCCGGTACAGCGAAGCACATTCAGCTTTTACTCGTCTCGTGGTCTCTCAATTTTGGACGCTGACTGTAAACACACGCTGCGAAATTCGCCCTCACGCCGTGCGCAGCGATCACGTTCTACGGTTGTAGGCTATCATCATCACGCTGTCGCGGCTCTTTCTCGCGTGCCCCGCTTAACAGCCCGCGCAACAGTGTGACCGCGGACATTTTGCATGCTACGCGTTCTAGTCGGCGCTTTTTACTTGGCCCTCCAAGTCGTCCTCCTTTGTAGGCGACCTGCAGTCGAATAGCTGAGCGTCATCTCCCAGTTTGCCGTCTATGACATCATTTTTTCGGGTTTTTTAAGGTGAGTGCAGTCTCTGATAATGGTATAGCATTTTGGCACACACACACACAAAAAAACGCACACCAGAAAGAAACAACACGATGACAAAGGCGGCATGTTCGTGACTCTTTTGTGCGAGTTGTTTTCACGGGCGGCAGAATGTCGTGCAGCTAGCAATGCCAACTAGGCCAAGAAGTTTTGATAACCGGTTGGGGCGTTCGGTTTACGCGTGTATTTAGATCGATGTATTTATGCAGGCTGAGATGGCATTGAGCTTAAAGTTACGGGTCTGTGCTACTCGTGTACTCAGATTTGGGTGCACGTTAAAGAACCCCAGGTGGTCAAAATTTCCGGAGTCCTCCACTACGGCGTCTCTCATAATCAAATGGTGGTTTTGGGACGTTAAACCCCACAATCAATCAATCAATGGGTCTGTGCTACTGTTATTCGTAGTGAATACATTGGGTTTTCGTCGGGATCACAGCCATACTTGTAATAAAAAAAACTTATAAACCCATCTTTTCGGTCGATGTACTGATTCTTTCCCGCACCATCCGAAGCCTTTATGTCCAAAGCAAGATTTTGGGCATAAAGCCGCAACGGAGGAACGGAGGCATTGCCAGCTTCCCGCACCTTACCCGATTTTGCCCTGCCTCCATGACCTTTGACAGTGGTGTCACGAGATGACATCAAGTGAAATCACGTTAACTGGGTGTAATGGTGGCGTCACGATGATTTTCAAATTTTGACAAGCTCTGACGTCACCACGTGATGGTGATTTTTTGCATAACTCGTATTCACGGCGCCGACGCGGGGCACCGACTTCGTTTTCACGTTTGATGCGGCGTCTGAGACTTTCGCCTTAAGAAAACAACGCGTTCGCGTGCGTTTACGTAAATTGTAGAGAAGTTCGGAAAGCTCAGAGTTATCTTCGTAGGTATCTCACCCCTGTCTTCGCTTGACGACTCGAAAGTGAAACCATGGTAGTGCGGTTCTTTCGCAGTGAACACAGACATGGCGTTTCAAAGAAACGCCACTTTCGATTCACTCAGGCGAACGCCTCTAGTTTTTGCTCTTGCTCACCGGGTTTTTACAGGGTTATTACTGCATGGCATTTCTCTTGGATATACAGTGTTTGATATCTTCATAAAACTTCCCTTTGCAGAAAAAAAAGTCGGCCAGTTATTCCTCGGACCCCTAGACGGCCCAGAGTTGGTCCTCGAAAGTGCGACGCTGAGCAAAGGAGTCTCGCAGCGCGTTCGGTTCGACGCTGCGTCTCTGTCTGGAACCCCACCTCCAAGGGTTGCTCTGGCATCGCAATACTTTGCTTGGGAAATCAAGCTGTGAGTAGCAGAGATTCAAGATCACTGGGTTCGTAAACGTTCGTGACTGCAGCTGTCACCACGTGACCACCTGTTTCTTGTTCAGTTATTGGTTTGGTTGTGGCAATTTGAACCTTGCCAGTTATGTAAAGCTGTATTACATATCTGAAGCTGGTGAGGGGCTCCTTGCTTGAGGTGGCCGTCGCGGCGGTGGCATCATTGACGGCGTCTGCTCGGCCCTGGAAGCCCCCGAATCGCCTATAGTGCGGCGCCTTGTTTCTGGTATTTTCGTTTCGTTTTGTTTACTTATTTGAAGAAAAAGACCGTCAACACCATCATTTCGCTTATTTGTTTTTCACGACCCCACTCATCTTGTCACGTGACCTGTGAAACTTCTACTTCTATACTAGTAGTAGTAGTAATAGTAATAGTAGTAGTGGTAATAGTAATAGTAGTAGTAGTAGTAGTAGTAGTAGTAGTAGTTGTTGTTGTTGTTGTAGTTGTTGTTGTTGTTGTAGACGACTACTAGAGAGGCCAGACTAAAAGCTCGTTCACACCTGTGACTCACAGGTGTGAACAAGCTCCAACCCTATGTCAAATCCGACCGTCGCAAACCGTTGCGACGGTCGCAGTTGACTGCTTAATTTTGTCGCAAAGCAACCGCATGGGCTCAGCCACTCGCGGCTCGGTTTTTCGCTTTCGTGACTGCGGTCGCACACGCTTGAAGCAGTCCTATGAGCAGGCACAGGACGTCAACTTAATTTACAAAGAAAAAAGAAAGCAATACAACCCATTTACGAGTAGACGGTCATTCAGTATGGCGAAGAAAATTCACTGCGGTGAAGTCGCATGCATGTCACCACGAATCACTTTTTGGTGCTATAGTTGGAAGTGTGAATGAGCTTTAAGATAGTTTAGCGAGTTGAGAAATGCTGCGCTTTTTCCTGACTTGAAAGTGTGGCGCTATACTGCGCCAATTTGGTGACCGTTCTTGTTTGAAGCTGTTGCTATTTTGACTGTTTTCGCAGGCGCCAAAGTTGCAAAATGGCGGACAAGCCTGACCCATCCCCAGACTTCTCCAGGAAGGAAGTGCTCAAGAAGCGCACAGACCTATGCATGAACCTTCTCGAAAATCGACGGGCCAGCTTCGAGCGATGGCCATTAACCAGTTCGGATTGCCTCTGTACACCAGAGAAGATGGCGGAAGCCGGTTTCTACTTCTGCGCTACAAAGGAGGAACGAGACCTTGTGCGCTGTTACGTATGTTTCAAAGAATACATGGCTTGGAACCCGAATGAGGATCCATTCCAGGAGCACGCCCGCTCGACAAATTGTGCATTTGTTCGTATGGGAAAGAAGGCAGAAGAGCTGACAGTGAAGGACGTGTTGGACTTGGAAAAGGAACGAGCCAAGAACAGGGCGCGCTTGCTGGCGGAAATGTATTACGCCGAATTGGACGATGCGAAGCGCAAAGTCATGGAAGAATTGGACAAGCTTCAGCACAAGAAGCAATGAGATCGGAACTGCTTCTGCACCGGGCCCTCCGGTAGCTCGCTCACTGTTTGAACAGAGCTCCGCCGAACATCCCCTCTAAATGGCTGAAATAAACTTATGGGACACCCCAACAAAGTTTGTATTAACTGGCCTGTACAGCTGGTAATGTGGGTGCTCTGTAAAAACCATTTTCACCCATAATGATGGCACTCGCGAAAAAATATAAACAAATTTGGCAGATCCCACCGCATTTGGGAATCTTTTTCTTGCGATGGAGTCGGCGGGTAAATGTCTATGCTGAATTTTTGCCATGGCACGAATGTGAATGTTTTTTTTTAATTTTCAGTGCAGTAGTTGTGTACACATCGTGGTTTTACGAGAACGTCGACTACGTTAGTAATCGTTACAAATATGTCGGTATTACCCAACGAACTGCATTTTACGGCGCGATGATGCGGACATCATACGTAACTTAACTTTCTTTCGCGTATTTTTCTGGGACAAAGAAACGATGAAATGAAGCTTACAATCACAGGGATAAAAAAGTAATTACTCTGCTATAAAAGCGTTGCACACACTGGAACCACATGGGGCGTTAACCCGACCACATGCCCATATCACAGGAGTGCATATGTGCTGTTTATTCTTTGATTATGAGATGTCGAGAAGTATGCAACCGCGGCTGACATTCCACCGGCATTACACCTGCATATGGGCTGTTTTTCCAAAGACTGGCGTGGCTCCGGTGGTATACCCGACTGCCACGCAGATGTGTAGGTCCGATTCCTGCAGGTTTCCCCATTTTTATTCTTTGCATTCCTCTCGTCAACGCTGCCGATGATTTCTTAATGTACTCATTTATACTATACCAACTTTTCTGATGTTGCCATTGCTGGCGAACCATCAATCACCTGCGAACCATGGTATAAGGGTATACATGAGGGTCTAGCTCGTGTCTAGAGGAAAGGGTTTGGCGTCGTATGCGACGGGGTTTTCACTTTATGCATGTCGTGACCAGACTGTCGTACTCGTCAAACCCTCTCGCCCTCCCGTACCAGTTCTGGTCTCCACCACATTAAGGAGGCGATTGCGAAAGCGCCGAGACGCAGTCGGCTATATGGATACGAAGATGGAAACGCTCCAAGTGCACTAGGGTCGTTAAGAAATGCTTGAAATTTAAAAGAAAACACTCTTTTTGATGATTTGGGTTAGACATATGACCCCCCCCCCCCCCCCGGTGTGCAAGTGAAGGCGTTCAACGCTATGCCACGCGCCTGCCATGTCCAACTTAACAACCGAACTACTCGAATGCGTTTTGTATACCAACGATGCAGAAAGAATCGAAAGGAATGAATTAACTTCGTACGAATGTTTCATTGAAATAGTATAGTTTCTGTCACAGAAGTGTGGTCAAAGTCAATTTTGTGGTCATCCTTCTTCAGAAGTACTGACATAAATTTCAAATATTTTGGGATTGTCATTCTAAATAAGAGCACGGCTTTCGACAACTCTAAAGATAGTTCTGTGGTGCCTGAGAGTGCATCGCATATATTTTAAATACCGCCATCTTAAAAAAAAAAACACTCCTTCGAATTCGATATTGAGGTGGCGGCTTCCCGTGATGTGTCCTGGCAGTGTGACGTCACGAAGAGACAGCAATTCGTGACGTACCAGAGGGAAAATGCGACAAACATCAGACGCGTGTTCCTGCTGCTGCCAAAAAATGCACTCATCGTTGTTTACGTGTACCACGAGCAGATCTCGAGATCTGCTCTTGGTACACGTCAACAGCGATGAGTGCATTTTTTGGCAGCAGCGGGAACACGCGTCTGATGTTTGTCGCATTTTGCCCTTACAGATGCCTGCGCCAGTATTGACAATGATTCTGCGTCGGTGACGAAACTGGACAATCACACGCATCCGCCCCTTGAGTATCGTGGTATGCGATTGTCAGCTGGAGGCACACCGACCATACTAGCAGCTCCGGAGGCGATGCTGGCACCTTGAGGCCCTTGAGGCTTCATTTCGACAGCAGTGGGAACACGCGGCTGATGTTTGTCGCATTTAGCCCTTACAGGTTAGAAATTGCCTCAATATCTACCATTAGGACTGATTTCAATATTGCTGTTGCTTGCTTGCTTGTTCCTTTCTTTTGTGGCTCTCACCCACTAAGGGGGATTGGCCAAGAAGCCGGTGGTTAATGCAAGAAAATACCTATAGATTTTCTAGATTAGGGGAATATGATTACTGTGTTTTGACCGTGAAATTAATTTGGCGCAATGTCAGAAAAAGAAAGAAAAAAAGGGGGGGGGGGAGAAATAGTAGAATTTGTTGAATATCTGTGGTGGAGTCGTTATATGAAATTCCTGAAAGTTGAATCTGTTGCCGATGCCACATCTTTCTTCATTTTTTTGCTTTATTTTTGCCTTTTTCTTCTTGTATTGTTCTTATATTTTAATGTGACACCTGATCCTGAGTTGCTAAAAATCTTGAAAGAAATGAAGCAGGAAATTCGCGGCATGCGTGCTTCTTTGGAGAGTGAATTCTTAAAAGAATATAAAGAATTGAAAGCTAACAGGATATGCTTAACAAATGTTTCGAAGAAATGAATGATAGTATGCCATTGAGCAAGAAAATATATAGACAATAACATATGCCGATGACACTGCTGTTGTGGATTTCTCGCAATTCTCATTTGGCTTTTTTGAGCAACACGCAAACAAACAAAAAAGCAGTAGATGAGTTGTGGAATGAATTCAAGGTTATAGTAAACCATTGCGTGGAGCGCTTTGTGCCATCACGTCTGAAAAAATCTAAACAACGCTGACCCTGGATTAACTGCGGTATTATTCATATGAAAAGAAAGCTAAAGCGGCTCCGGAAAAAGAAAAAAGGCTCTAGCGAAGACTTCGCCCGGTATTGAGGCGCACTCTGACGCTAGCCAAAAAAAAAAAGACAGTTCTTTGATAAAACACTGAGTGCATTTTTAAAAACTTCTCCACGAAAGGTGTCTGAGCAGTCAAAAACATAAAACTGAAGAAATCGCGAACTATACAGGAACGTTAACACATGCAGCTGACACTGCTGAATATGTCAATTACTTTTTCCAGTCGGTGCATATGTTCACCGAAAATTCAAACACTAACACGGGCGAGCACTTAGAATATTGCATACGTAAACCAATGAAATAACTTATAATCAAACGGGAAGGAGTGTTTGAAGTACTCCTCCACTTAGACGGGAAAAAATCTAGTGGGCCTGACGAGATCTGTTCAGAATTTTCGAAGCGCTACGCTGAATGGACGATTTCTAAAATATTACCTTACAGTAATATTTTAGAAATCACTAAATACCCATTCTTTACCCTTGGACCGGCACAGGGCAGTTGTCATACCGGTATACAAAGGAGATGAACGCAGACTTGTAAACAATTACCGCACCATTTCACTCACATTTATTAGTTGCAAAATTTTGGAGCACATCATCGCAAAACACATTTGACAATTTCTTGAACAGAACAACTTGAACAATTTCTTGAACAGAACAACAGAACAACTCATGATTTTGCGACAGCTTTAGACAATAAGCAACAAATTGACGTCATTTAATTGTATAAACTTTGCAAAGGCTTTTATAAAGTAACTCATGATAAGCTAACTTTTAAGCTTCAAGAAACTGGTATCGGTAGAACACTGGTGACTTGGATAAAAGAATACTTGAGTAACCGAACACAGACAGTACACTTAAATGACAGCTCGTCACGTTGATTCGCTGCTGGGGGTCGGAGCAAGCGTACGCACTGCTTGGGAGCTCCGCCAACTTTCAAGGATATATTAGCGAAACTACGAACTTTTGGAAAGCGAAATTATCAGCAACGATCTGGGAAGGTCAGCGATCATAACTGACAGCTACAGTTTATTCAGGTGAACCAATTCTTGGCTGCTACACCTACTTTCTGTTCGTGCAACGGTGGCGGCAGTGCTAACCCTAACAACGACCAAGCGACGCCATTACTCCAACCGCAACCATGGCCTTAGCTCAAGCTTCACCGAGGGGAGGGCAGGCTCACTGACTCACCTCGCAGCCTAACGCAATGGACGTCGATCAAAAGAACGGAGACGACATCTCTGGAAAGGAAACTCTGGAAGAACAAGGCTGGATAACGATCCATGCACGTAAAAAGAATAATAGGGCAACAGACGCGGACATTACTGCAGGCAGGCAAGGGGACGCCACTCCAGCAGACGCGAAGGACCATAAGAGACGAGTGTCTCGGAACATACAGAAAATGAACGCGGCCTCAAAGAAGCCTCACCTTCCAAAAGAAGACATCAGGGTCATTATCTGACCGAAAGATGGCTTTAACACAGCTGGATACAGCGTTAACCAGATAGGTGACTGCATACTGAGAGCAACTGGGCTGACACCCGAAGAAGTGATAAAGGACTCAATTCGCATCAACGAGTGGCAGAACATCATTGTAGTGAGTACACCGGTGCTCGCAAAAGTAGAAAAATACACTGCGATGAAGGCCTTTCGCATAGAAGACAGAGCACACGAAGTCACCGCATACATAACCGCGCCGGAAGATACGTCGAAGGGAATCATCTGAGGGATACCGGACTACGATACCTACGAAGATATCCAGAAAAGCCTAGACAACGAGAGTAACCCCAGCATATTATACGCCAAGAGGATGGGTGGCACCAATCACGTGATCATTGTATTACAGGGCACGTATGTACCACGTTACGTGTATACAGGAGTTGTTAGTACCACTGCGTACTGTACAAGAAGCAATATGAAACGTGTTACGCGTGCAGAGGACTAGGCCACCGATCGGACGTTTGGCCACAGCCGCAAGCAAAAAGGTGTCGTGGATGTGGCAGCGCTGAGCCAACCGCCGATCATCGGTGCGAGCCTAGGTGCCTTCTCTGCGGCAGGGACCATCCGACTGGTGACAGGAAATGCAAGGCTAGGTTTAAGACCCCGTTGTTAGTCAAGAAGCGATAGGACAGAAA